ACACTGCAACTCTGAAAATTAAAGCATAAATGGGTTTTTCACAGCTGGGAAACCAGTAAAAAAGGAGACTGGAAATCATCTTGTCACTCCCAGTAAACACAATGGTTGCTGTTCTGTGCGCTCTGTGTCTGGCATGGGAAGCATAAGCTGCTCCCTGAAAAGAAGTATAGCCACCTGTCCCATCCTAGAGCCCCTGCACCGGCTTCTCTTAAATCCTTCACTCTGGGAACACCAGCACTTTAATTTCTGCATATACAGAGAAATTTGTTGGTTTGTATTCCTCACCAGGCCTCCGAACAGAGGACTGCATAATTAACGTCTCTTGGCTCAGGTTTGCATTACTTGTAGTACAGCATTGTTTAAGAATAACAACTGGAAATATATGACCCTGCTCATAGTTGTACTTTTAGCTTCAATTCAGTTCTACCTTTCTCTAACTCATTAGTGAAAAGTGATGTTATCCATGTATGAGTCTTGGTTTACCTTGAAGGTGTTGTAATAAATGAATCCTCAGATTCAACTGACATTTTCTTTTCTAAGTGTTCACTGCATTCTGACATTTCTATAAGGTGTAAGAAACTAGGAAGTAGGAAGCTTACACATTTACTTTTTACAAACACTGTAGATTTTCAGGAAACATAATTTCTGTCATAAGATTTTTCTTTTAAATCAAACCAAAATTCATACACATGAATTTACACACCTCCACAAAGCGTAAGAAAAAATGTGTTGGTGTTCTGGCTTTCTTTCATAGTAGAAAAGTGAAGAGAGAGCAAGAACAATAGCTTTTTCATCCTTGGTTCAGGTAGTTAATAATGTTTCTTTCTAACATACAAAGCAGGAAATAAAGAGTGAAAGTTAAAAAATGTGAGTGTTCAGATAATTTCTTTCCATAATCTTCAGAGCATGAAAATATTTTCTTTTCATAGCTCACTGCTTAGCTTAACTTCTTCCAGTGTCTTTGAAGGTCTTTACAACACACTAGGTGTTGTTAGTTCAGAAGGAAAAGTTTGGCTTATCAAGATTGGGATAGCATTAGTATAAAACCACTTATTTTAGAAAAACAATTCACAGAATTATTACATTTAGTAGGAACCTAAACAAAGATTATATAATAATTTTCAACTGGATCATTAGCATTTTAAAAGCCAGGTAAGAAGGACTCTCATTTGCCGGACAGATTTAAAGAAAAAAAGATATCCAGCGTGGAATTCAACATGTGTTTTAAATAACAAGTATTATTTACTTAGTCACCTTATTTGGATGAATATCTGAATATCATGTATAAAACTCCACTGGAATTTTTACAGTAGTGGAGAGCTACAGTCTCCATTTCAAAATACAAATTTTCAACAATAAAGAGAGTAGCCATGAGCTATCCTTCCCCCCCCCCCCTCAAACTTGTTCATTTCTTTTTAAACTTTTCATATTGTCTGTGTAATTCTTTCTCATGCTAATATTCCTTGCTTTTCAATGGTTTCTGGAGGTGGTAAGGAAAAATAGGGATAACTACTATATTTAAGAGGAAAATGTTCACTGTGTTTTAATATTTCATATATTTGAAAACATTTGTTGTGTTAAAAAATTGGTCCAGCCAGTTATCTGTGACAGTCCACATAATACTTGTAAGGTCTCTTCAAAGGAGAAGTTTCTTTTGTTGCATGTTTCTCCATGGGGATGTGTGCCAGTGCTTAGAAACTATGTGTAATTTCAGATCAACTATAAAGGGCCATGTTTCCTTACACACCTTTGGCTGACTTGTATTCTTAAATAATCATCATACAAAAAACCTATTGCCATACACAGCTTTCACTGCTTTTGTTTTTCAGGGTAATATTCTGCTGACAAATCTGCATGAGTAGAGGGGTAGAAATTCAGGTAGAAAACTTTCTCTATAATTGCAGTTTTATAATATCATACATTGGAAACAGAATAAGTGCTATGTGGGGTAATCCTTACTCTCCCACCTCTTGTCTTGCATTACTCATCCCTCTGTGCTTTGTTCATTCTAAATAATGGATGTCTACCTGGCACTATTAGAAACATCAGATAAAAGACATGCCAATGCATGAATCTGTAGGATGTATTTAGTACTTCTCAGTACACCAATGTCTGCTCTACATCCTTCTATTAGAAATGTGTCCTTGTTTGAAAGAATGAGAAAACAAATAGGATTTATCAAAAGCCAACGATTCACATTCTCTCCTGGTAAAAAATCTATATTGGAGACATAATGAAAATATAACTCAGTGCTAGTATTCTGCATCCAAAACCCATGAAAGATTCTGGTCTTAAGTACAAAAGGTCAACTAACATTTACTGTAAGACTTCTATCAGTTTCTGTGCTTTTCAAATCAGAACTGCTAACTTGCGGTTTCCATAGGCTATACATTGTTTCCAATATTGTTGTTGCCATCGTCAGTGTATGCAGTTTTTATTCATTCTTCAGAAGAACAAGCAAAATTTGTCAACATTTTATTTCATTATAATTGAGAACACATCAAATTGAAGTAATGGCTTTATAGAAGACTGTAGGAAAATGTTAAACAATCAGAAATACATGTTCTGAGCGACTATGTAGGTTATATAGGGAGATATGGCTTCTAGCTGTAGCAGTAGTAAGCTTTTAAAACAAAATAAATATGAACATCTCTCTTTTTATTCTTATTCTTTTTTGCTTCAATGAATTTTGTTCTTTTTAATCACATTGAGGAAAGTAACTGAAAACTTGTTTCACACACATTTAATTTGTGCCAAGCTGGTTGTAGATGGATAGTCAGCCTACCCTCAGAATATACCCTTCTATGTTTTTAGATATCTCAACGAGGTGAGAAAAGGATATCACACCAGCCCAAAACCACCTCTTCCTGAGCCTTGGAGAAAGATATTGATGGTGTTACAAATCACCGTTATACTAGACAGTGTTGTGGTTATCCTAATGATAATGTATACTCAAGGGAAAGCAGGTAAGCACCAAATACCTGGAGAAAATATATTATTTGAAGGAAAAGGCAACATCAGAGATGAAATCTAAGAATGTTAAGAGCTCATAGTTGATCTTCATTATTAAATTACTTATCGCTCCTATTAATATGATCTCCTGTTGCACTTGTTACTAAGGAATAGGTTTAGAAATAGCATTAATATGAGTGTGAGCACATACGAATTTTTATGCATTTCAGACAATCTTCTTCTTTCCGCAGTATTTCAGAGAAAGAATTTATAATATGCATGGTCAAAATAAAGAATACATTAAAGTTTAGTTTTGTCTTCATAAACAAGATCTGTATCTAAATGCTGCAACCAGCTCTACCTACAAGGTAAACTGAACTTCTGAGCTAATTACATCAGAACTTATAGATGGTTGCAATCCAGGCTAACACTTTACAGTATGAGGAAAACAAAACCACAGAGTAATACAGCGACTTCCAAACACAGAGCTTTAATGTCTTTGAATGCTTAGGAGACTCTTCTACTGAGTGTCCAGATATTTGACATGTAATTGTCAAAACAGCTGATCAAACCCTCTACTTAATATGAATAAATATTTAGACAAACAAAATGCAAATCCAAGTATGCCAAGGGACATATGTGGCAAGTTTTTTGCAGCAGTACGTGACATTTTCTTGCTATTAGCAGAGAAGGGACAAATATCGTCATGTACACCTAAAAGCTGGTACCAGACTGGATGGAACTCAACCCAAGGCTGAGCTATGATCTTCTGGAAGGATGCTGCATTCAGTAGCAGGCTGCACTTAAAGTGAAGGCAATCTGCAGCTTACCAAGGAATCAGTCTGAATTTGGGCAGAACACTCCCTCCTATTGAAACACATGTGCCAGACAGAGGGGTAGGAAAGTCCATTCTGCTCACTCATTGAGCAAGGGCTGAGAGCCTAGGGCTGTGTCAAGGTGGCAGAGCAATACAAGTGTCCCACAGGAACAGAGTTAGTCAGTCTGCCCACCAGTCCCCATGGTGCCTGCCCACCGTTCAGGACTGCTGTCTGGACCCTGGGTCCCTGCAGAGCACCCTACACATTGGAGAGCTTGAATAAAGAGTGGGGCTGAAAATGGCCAAGCTCTCCTACTGTGGAGAAATCAACACGTGTCCTAATTTTTCCCTCTATTGTTGCATCCTTCTGTTATAAAAGTGCAGGGGGAAGATTTTCTCTTCTACTATTTGAAACATACTCTTACATTTAATCACTGATTTCATGCTCTGCTCTGATGGTTCTGCAACATTTATGACTAACAACAAAAAAATCTATCAATATCTACAATACAAGTGACAAATAAACAGACAGCTTCCAAGTAAATCCTATGCTGGTGATCAGTACTGTTAACGTGCTGTGCAACAGCAACTTACTTTCTTTTTTTTTCTTATTCATCTGAGAACCTGGAACTGCCCTAGCACATCTTAAATGTCACTCTTACTTGACTACTCATATACACAGATGAGTGGAGATAAATGCATAGTATCAGAAACACAATACCAACTGAAGGAAAAAGAAGACCTAGCAACTCATCTCTCCATGTAGCACAGGTTGGCAGGTTGGCACAGACCTCAGTAGTGGCAGATGATATATGAAACACATCAATTTTCATACAACACAGCTTCTCTCGTTATTTCAGCAGTGGCCCAGTGCAGCTTGCTGAAACATTCTGGATAAAGTGAGTAAAGCCTGTAACAAGATTCTGGTAGAGTCACTATATGCAAAACGCACAGCAGATTGTGTTATGAATATTATCAGTTTCAGCGGAAAACACTTTCTTTTCCATGTTTGTTAAACCGCACGTTGTTATCACCAGTATCTTAAAAAAGAGACTAGAGACATTTGTAGAATAAATATACTGCTTGTCAATGTATATGATCATTATCTTCTTATCAGTTAAATGTGTATCTGATAAATGCCTTTTCTTAATGCAAAAGTATATATATATATGTGTATATATATATATGACTTCTAAAAAGTTAACCATAAAAGCATTCTCACTCAACTTACCAGATGTTGAAGCTGGAAGGAATCTTGCCCTACTCTCTACCTGCTCTCGTGTTGGTAATCTCTCTCCCTCTCTTTCTCCCCCCGTGCAGAGGTTGCAGTAAACTTAGAAAACTAGCAGGGACAGTGTTTCAAATGACTTAAGAAAGAGAACAGGAACAATTATTTCGTTCTCTTTTTTTCAGATGAGTACAGTACCTTCAGAAAGAAGGAAGGAAGGGAGGGGAGAGGAAGTCAACAACCCTTTGCTTTCCTGCAAAAAAATAAGGAAACAGCAGATAGCAATCTCGTTTTCTCTCAAACAAAATGTTTGGAAAAATAAATACAACCGAACCAAAAGGAATTCCTCAAGTATTATATCTGCATTATTGGCTTCATAAAACCTACTTTACAGCTTGCTATGTGCAACTGCATTAAAACAAATGAATTTCCGAAGTAGCGTCTAGGAGTAAGACGCCCATATCTCACACAGAACAATCAGTCATAAGTGTGTACAGATAATGCAGACTTTTTTCTTCAGACAAGGAACAGTCATATATGGAATGAACATACATGAGTACACAGTTCTTATTTCCATGGTAATAGATTTCTTAAACTCCCTCTTCAGTGTGATTGTAGGAAAATAGCAGTGGATTATTCACAAAACGCTGTTGAATAAAAAGGGGGACAAGAAGGGCCACAAAAATGATAAGGATCGTATCTCTATATTAGGGTTGCAGTAACACATAATTTATCTCAAAGATTTGCAGTGTGTGGAAGCCATCTGATTTCTCCAAGCAAAAACTACATGCTGTGTTCTAGAATACATTTTGTACTTCGCTTTGTTTCTTTCTTTCCCCATTAAGCAAATTCTGACAAACAGATACTGGCCAGCTGGCTGCAGTTATACTTAGGATAAGTTTAGTCCATTGTGCTCCACAGTGATTTTGTTCACTTGTGTGTTTTCCCCCACCTTTATCTGTTATTTGAAGTCCACCTATAGTGAATACATGTTCCCTTTTTTTCCCAATAATCTGTTTTCATTCTGACATTCTTGCATGTAAAAACTTTGACGCTACCATAGGGTCTATGTTTTCAGTTTGCTTTGTAACATGGTACCTAAGGCAGTGCTGCTTGTGGACAAGTGACTCAGCGCCGTGCTCTGTGACAGGCAGGAAAAAAAAGACACTTTGCATTGCTCTTTCCTATGAAATGTGGATCCAGATTTTGCTGTGGGATTGACAGCTAGATGAATGCTGCTGAGGCAAAATGAGTTACAGCTGTAAATCCATTGTTAGTAGGAGGACAAGTTGGTACCCTACCCCATACAGATAATAAAGATTGCTTCTTTTATTGTTTGATAATGAAAAGCTGCAAACCAACATAGGAAGTACTTTGGCACCTGTGTGCCTTCACACAGTTCTTGACGCTATTCCCAGAAGATGTCTAGCAGCAGTCTGAGTGGAGAATCTTTCATTTTAGTATTCAGCAACTGGAAGATTTGACTGAGTACATCAGCAGCTGACAGAGCAGTACAGGTGCTGCGGGTGATCCCTGGCCTTACAGCATCACCAGCATTTCCTGGTAGCGAGAGGTTAATTGTAAGAGCAAAAGAATGCAATGCACTTAGGGAACGTGCTGTAAATGAAGTACTCTATAATCCCTTGGGAACAGAGTTCTAGTGTATACCAAGCATAGGGAAAGTAGGGAGGCACAGAAAGTAACCAAATTAATGTCTAGTCTAGTAGTTGAAAAAACAAGGTTTTATTTTGAAGTAGTTTTATTAACGTTTGTTTTATTCACTTCTTTGCCAGGTATTCAATATTCATGAGACCCAGAAGACTGCTACCACACATAATTTTGTTTTTCTCTATTGGTAGTACATTGCAGAATGCCTATATTCCTCAGCATATGTTCAGAGGCCACAGAGGGTACATGACCTCATTGTCACAGATGTCCCTTGCTTCTTCACACAGCAGGTTTCACTTTTAGTTTTGGGGACTGCAAAGCTAAGATGCTGGTCACAAACAACCACATCACTGCTTCACTATCTAATAAAGTGGCTTTGATATTCTGATTGAAAGACACTTTTTGAGCCTGCCGGTACTGCAAGGAGAGCAGGAGATCACAGAATCACAGAATCACAGAATTGTAGGGGTTGGAAGGGACCTCCAGAGATCATCAAGTCCAACCCCCCTGCCAAAGCAGGTTCCTTACAGCAGGTCGCACAGGTAGATGTAAAGGTCTTTCCTCATCTCACCTCAGGTCCTCCTGTCAGCAGCCTTTCTACCACTCAAAGCTGGAGCCAGTGTCCTTGAATGAATGCTGTTGCCACTGCCTCATCTGATGCTAGAATGAAACTGAAGGGCAGAGGGAAACTGTCTCCTGCTGATAACCAACCCTCTTTGTGGAACTTACTAAGCCAAGTGCTCCGAACACTGTTGCTTCATCAAAGTCCAGGTAGAGTAATCTCCTTCCCACAGAGCAGCTGTAGTGATTGACTTGCTCTGCCCATCTCCCACCAGTCACCAGAAAAAAACCATGAAGGAGGGAAAGGTATTGACACTGACATTTTCATGCCTGCAGACACCTTGGAAGGTCATTCCCATACAATTTATGACTGCGAAGAAATAAAAGCAAGGCCAAAATCTTTAGTTCCTAAAGTCAAGCAAACCAAGTCACAGTGGATAACTCTATGGCACTTAAACATTTTTTTAAAAGGGACAAGTACATTTATTTTTAAGAACATACTTTTGTAGGAAGTTTTATTCTTTATTTCACCTTTCCTCACCGTACTTTTACCAAAATGAATCTGCAGACACAAATCCAAAAAAGTGCAACCCCAGTTTCAATGCAGAGAAGGGAACAAGTGTAGTAAGTGTAGTAAACTTCAAGTATAGTAAAGCAGAAAAGCAGACAAGAAAAAACATACCTGTGGTCGCAGTCAGGCACATTTGATCTTCCATCAGGCTAATTATTAAGGTGATATTAAGGACTTGTTCCTTTTTTCTTTGTAGTTGTTTGTTTGTTTGTTTGCTTGCTTGCTTTTAGTTCTATAGGAAATAAATGTTCTTCCCAATGACAGGAGGGAAGCTTTCTTACATGCTCAAAGAAAGAGTGATATAAAACACATTCAGCATGTTAATAAGCATGAGAAAAGGGTTACAAGTAGCAGCCTCTGCACCACCACCTAGCATAGATAAGAGAGTGCAGAGTTAACTGTAGAAGCCATAACATTCTGCCTCATCCTGAGAAAATGAGACCAGAGGCAAAAAACAGACATGCTTGCCTGAAACTTTTAGGGCGACATCTTCATACATATGAATTGTCAAGGAAATAATAAGATGAATGTCTTCCTTCTGGGTTATAGTCTACCTGTGGAATTTAAAATAACATACTTAAAGATTGATAAAGAAACACCCAAAGAATACTTCACTGTTTAATATGTCAGTCTGCTATACTTTCCTGGCTTCACTTCTGCAGCGAATGTTTATTGTAGACGGCTCAGGACTGAGCCAGCAGAATGCTAATGGAATCAGCAATGTACAGAGCTGAAACTAAAGGACTTCCCTTCTGCACTGCAGCACGAGAGTGGGGCTCTAATAATCAACATTCAGCTGCTCTACTACCCTTTGTTATATTGCTTTGCATTACATGCACTGTTAAGGTATGACATATTCCTTTTTTTTTTTAATTATTGCAGTCATACTGGCTTTCATTTAGTTTGTCAGATTAGAAAATGTTAGAATATAAGAAAATTTTATACAGCTATCTGTGTCTCATGATCTTGGTATGATCAGAGTATTCTCACAACTGTGTGCTTGTGCAACTAAATTTCATGTAAATCCTTTTGATATTTTTCTTTCAGGTAGTATATAATCGACATTTTAATGAGCGTTTAGTATTTGTAGATTATAACCACACTGTGTGTTGCTCTTGAGAGAGAAAGTGGAAATATGTATTAAGAACAATTTTAAGAAGAGGCCTTTCCTGGTAGTAACTACCTTACTGTAATTTGAAGTGGGGCAAACTCGTTTCTGGTAAATGACACAGTCTGAAGTCATCTGAAGAATTGCTCTTCTTGTACCTTGTTTGTAAGCATCACAACTACTCTTATTAAGACATTATAATTAAAAACCATTTTAAAATAAGATAGTATGATAAAGAGGATGTGTTTGCATCTTCTAGCATGCACAAATTTATGTGAGCAGGACTGCAAGCTTTCTTCAGGTCAGAAACAGATGAGAGTTTGGCTTTGGTCTGTATGTCTGTATTGGGTGTCGCATCAACAGAAGCATAACATGGAAAGATGTCAAAGAATCTACCAAATTTTTTGGTAGTTCCTCAAAGCTGGCCTTTTAACCACAGTACAAAGCTGCATTCTATCTTTATAGTGGAAAGTAAATACAGTCCTTCCTGATGTTATTACTTTTTTAAGAGTGTTCGTGTAGTCTCATGTCCATTAAGTATAATGTAATGCCTGAAACTACCTAACGTGTTTACAAACCTGAAATACAGAAAATATGTTGGCCTTTGGAAACTTCAGAAAATAATGAGAAATAGATGGTTAATATGTTTTTCAAGCCTTGTTAGCTCCTGTAATACAACATGATTTCTTCTGGAAGTCTGGTAGTACGTTTCAAAATGAATTTGAGAAAAATTTGAATTTATCTAAGTTTTATAATCACTCTGCAATTTATTCCTTTTTATTTCAGGTATTTCAGTCACCAAACTTGGCTGACGTACGCTCTTTATCTAATATGAAGTAAAAGAGTAGTAATGATTTTTGAAATACGCTTCTGTCCCTTAGTTTGTGATATTTTTCCCAACTATTCTGTCTTCGTCAGATTTTGCTGAAGCTGAAGTTCTGTGGGCATTTCAAAAAGGTCATTTCTGGGAGCAAAATAGAAACACTGAAAACCTAACACCACTGCTACCAAGCAGCATATCTGCAATCTATAGCTGCTGGGCTGTGGATCCAGAAAAGCTCTTGGGAAAACTGTATTGCACATCTGCATGAATAATGATAAATTGCATCTCTAAGTCTTTTACTCTTTCTGTTCCTAAGAGAAAGAAAGAAAAATTACTTCAATCTGTGTTTAGGTTGGGGGTTGTTTTTTTTCGCTTGCTTCTTTGGGATTTCTTGTATTTCATGGTTTGTTTTGTTCCCTGG